TTGCCCGGCCCTGCATCTCCCGCCCTCCCGGCAAGGCCCCCCGCCGCACGTGCGCCCTCGAGGCAGCACGCGCTGCCCAAGCGCTGACCGCGGGTGCGCGCGTGTGTGCCCCACCACTCGCACGCTTTCCTGTCATTCCAACCCCCCCTACATCGTCACAACTGGACAACACTGTGCTGCATATGCTTGCGTGCGCGTGCGCAGCTGGGCATCAGCGCGCCGCAGGGCTGCGGCAAGTCGACGCTGGTGGAGCAGCTGGAGCAGCTGTTCGCCTGGCTGGGCGTCCGCGCCGCGTCGGTGTCCATCGACGACTTTTACCTCACACACAGCGACCAGAGCGCCCTGGCCGCGGCACACCCCGACAACCGGCTGCTGCAGCTGCGCGGCAACGCGGGCAGCCACGACCTGCAGCTGGGGACCGACACGCTGCGGCAGCTGAGGGGGCTGACGCGCGCGGGGGACAGCGCGGCGGTGCCCAGGTGGGGGGCCCGGGGCGCCTGGGTCGGGTTAATGGAAGGGCGTTGCGGTGGCATGGCACAAGGGGGGGCAGAGTTCACGGTTGTCTTGGTTGGCGGTGTGTGTTAGTCAATTTGGGAGTGCCAAAGGCAGCACGTAATGATTTTGCTCAGCACGGCAGGCCGCCTGGCGGGCGACACCGACACAAGTTGCATCACCTGGCAGCGCCCCACCCGACGCGCGTCTCTCCGCCCCTCCTCCCCCTCCCCTGCGCGCCCGACTAGGTATGACAAGTCGGCATTTGGTGGCCGCGGAGACCGCGCTGACCCATCGACCTGGCCCACCGTGCAGGGTGAGCGGGACGGGTCGCAGCGGGGCGGGGCCGTAGCAGCTGGCAGCTGGGCAGGTTGGGGCTGGACGGGGCGGCTGACGCGTTGCAGGCGCGCGGATCCCCTCTGTGCTGCGCTCCCTGTAGCCCTGGCGCCAGGCAGTTGTCTGCTTGCCCCCCCCCTCGCCACACCACCTCCAGAACCCCAAAACCCAAGCTACACGCTGGCGCTCAGTCACCCCGATCCCCACTGCACCCCACCCTTGACCCCCCCACCCAGGCCCCCTGGACGTGGTGCTGTTTGAGGGCTGGATGCTGGGCTTTGCCCCTGTCGGCGCCGACACGGCGGGCGCTGTGGAGGGCGCCCTGTCCCAGGTTGACGCGGCGCTGGCGGCGTACCGCGACGCGTGGGACTCTGCCGTTGACAGCTGGCTGGTCATCAGGATAGGGGACCCCCAGGTGCGTGTGGCTGAGTTCGTGTGTGCGCGTGTGACTGTGTGTGTGATGCGTGTAGAGTGCGTGTGTGTGTGTGTGTGTGTCCTTGGGGGCGTGTGTGTTTGACAGGTCTGCAGTGTGACGTGTTCACATGGGTGCGCGTAGTCGCCGCTGCCGCAATAAGCTTCAGAGTACTCTGCGCAAGGCTGTGATGCCAGGGCGCGGGCTGCAGCAGGTGCGTGCCTCCCCTCTTCACCAGAGCTTCGCCCCATGACCTTCCTCCCCCCCTCCTTCCCTCTCCTCCCCGTTGGCCCCCCTTCCCCAGTGGGTGTTTGGCTGGCGCCTGCAGGCGGAGCAGCGCATGCGCGCCGCGGGCAAGCCTGGCATGACTGACGAGCAGATCGCGGACTTTGTCAGCCGCTACATGCCCGCATACCAGGCCTACCTGCCCGGCCTCTACGCGCGGGGCCCCACCACAGCCAGGGCGGGCCGCACCCTCATCCTGGAGGTAGACCACGCGCGCGCGCCGGTTGCGGCCCAGCCGGCGCCAGTCCTGTGAGGCTGCGCGAGAGACAGAACCTCCCTTTTTGCGGCGCGGGGTGCGCGCTCCAAGGCGCGGCCCCGGTGCCTGTATCCGACTGTATACACCCGACCAGGATTGGCGCATGGCGCCCCGTGCGTGTTGCGGGCGCGAGTTCCGCAGGTTTTGTGGAGCGTGAAGTGTGACATCGGCGTGACGGCGGTGGGGGGGATGCTTTGTTTGTCGGACCAACGAGGTTACCTGGTGTGCCCATGCATCACCACCATCAGTAGGGGCGGATGTGATTATCTGATACCGTATCAGGGCTGTTTTTCCCCGTGCGGACGGATCCCTTGTGCGTGCATGGCACGCTCTTGACCCCGCCTGACATGGGCCATGGGGCGGCGCCCAAAGCTGTCGGGAACGCCGTGCCAGCCGCGAGCATGCCACGCTGCACCCTGCGGTGCCACTGTTTTGCCATTGGCTCTTGGTGCACGCCCCCTGCCCCGCCCATCTGCACTCACTCAAAAAATTCTTGTGTAACGCCCTTGTTGCTGCGACTTGATTTGCTTGCACCACGCGTGTATGATAGGTCCCCAGGCACCAAGCCAAACAGCAGAGATCGCGTCAGTCTAGCAAGCCTTCTCGCTGAAAGCGGTGCCAGCATTACAAATGAGGTGCAGGCGCCAAAGCTGACTGCTGCTGCTGCTGCTGCTCCTGCAGCCGGGGGTCCTCCCGCTGCAGCACCGGCTCGCGGTGCCGGTCCCGTAGGTGCTGGCCGCCAAGCTCTTCACTACCCTCCTGGCGGGACGTCGCCCCGCCCGCGCAAGCGCTCGGCGTGCCCCAGGCCGCGTCGCAGCTCGTCCAGTGGCCGCTGTTGGGGGGCAGCGGCGGGTCTCCCCGACAGGAAACTGCCAGGAAGTCGACCAGCCGCTGCTCAAAGCCAGGCAGCTTGTCCACGCCTGCGGGGTGTGGGATTGTGTGTGCGGCAATACGTGACGAGGGTGGCGGCCACCAATGGGCAAGGTGGGGTGAGTGGAGGCGGCTGCGGATGGAGGAGTCCAGAGGTGCCGCACCCTCCAACAGCTGAGGGCCGCCCGCACACCCATTCCGCGCGTCGAGTGACGCGCCAAGGTGCCCCGCCGCCAAGCAGCCCCAGCCCAAGCCGGTGCTGCTGGGCCCCCCCGGCCCCACCTGGCCAGTAGTTGACGTCAACCACCAGGTAGCGCGCCGCCCCTCCATCATCGCCGCTGCTGCCGCCGCCAGTCCAGTGGGCCGACTCCTCGCCAGCCCCCGGCTGCACGCCGTTGTGCGCCTCACTGCCGCCCCCCGAGGCCCCCGCCTCGCGCGCGCCCTCCTGCTGCCCCTGGAGGGGGCAGATCATATCAAAATTGAACAGGGTGACACCCACACGCTGGCGCAGGGCTGAGGCCACAGCGTCCGTCACCCACACGGGCGGTGTCGCCACAGAAGACACAAGCGGCGCAGCGGCCGGCCCGCCAGCCGCCCCGCCTGCGTGGGCTGCGCGAGCCGCGGCCGCCGCCGCCGCCGCGCCGCCTATGGCAGCGGCGGG